AAAGCTCACTGATTAACACCCAGCATGACATTCCTTAGTCTTCTTACCCTCCTGCCCCACCACATCCATGCCTCTTTCAGGTGGCCTAGGGCCCTGTGTTCACCAGAAATGGAACCAACGCCAGAAAGACTAGAGCTACACAAGCACCATCCCATTCGGGGCAAGCCCAGCCCAGTGGGCTGAGAGCAGAGACCATGTTCCTTCAAGTATCCTGGAAGCTCAACCACAAGAAAGCAACACTTCAGCTACAGCGTGCCTTGCTGTCACCTGTTAATGCATGTACACATCCATATGGGTGTGCGCACAAAACACCGTGAAATAAAAATGCCTCTCAGATGTACTGCCCTATAATGAATCAATATTGTCTGGGCAGCTCAAAAAGAAGTATGGCATACCTATTTATTAAGTCCAAAAAGGCAAACTGCAGATAAATATATACAATATGTTACCACTTGTGTGAAAAGGAGTATATATAAGTATACACACAGACATATTTGTTCATATAAAACACTCTGGAAAATATAATAGGCAACTGTTAACAGTGATAACCTTCTGGGAAGGAGATTTTGGAATTAGGGGTTGGGGTGGGACAGTCTGATTTTCCCCATATTCCCTTTTGTACTCTGAGTTTGTTTTACTGTGTGCATGTAAAGGCTACTTACTATTATTGTTTTAAAGCACATTCTAATATGTAGAGAACGGTGTGCTGCAGAGCATGCAGATGTTCTGCCAGGCTGTGAATGAGCGGCCCTCCACGCGGGGCCGGGCGGCCGGTGAGAGGCGGCTCCCGCCGCATGGTGGTGTGGGCTCTGGTTCATGTCACTCCAAGGAGCAGGGGCTGCTCCGGCACAAAGAAGTTTTTGACAGGGAGAGGCAAAGCGGGAGTGAGAGCAGGCTCTAGGCAGGCTCCCAGGGAGCCCCTCCTCTCAATGAGAAGGGGTGCCCTCCACCCATCTGCGATCAACAAGGCTCTCCTAGGAAATGAAACGTTACGTATGTTTTGTCACTGCAGAATTTCTAGAGGAGTGATTTTTAATGAAATGTACTGGTACAGCATGTTCTCACTGCTGTGTCTCATTAAATATTTAAGTTTTTAGGTAACATTTTTCCACTTTCAAATAATCTTTGATTTTGATTAGTGCAACAATGACAGCACTTAATATATTTTTCAACTGATTTGCCTCATGTTGCTATTAATTTAACTGTTTTCTAATGCATATTCATGTTCTAAACCCTTTTTGCAAACTCTACCTCAGAGCCCGGTTTTCCTGCGCGCTTTACATTGTCAAAGCTCCGCTCGGGGGAGGGCAGGTTATCTTCACTTCTGAAACAGCACTGCTTTGGGAGCTGGCTGGACCCTGGGTATTCTGGGGAAGTGACACAATGTTGACCTAGGAGGGGGCCCTGATCCCTCCCCAGTGGAGCACCAGCTCCATGGAGAGGGAACGGAGGGGAAGATGAGGCTGGTGGGACTTGGGACATGCCACACCCAGCCTCTCCAGGGGCTCTGCCCTGGGCATCCCCGTCCCCCACCTGGGCATGGGGAGGCCTGGCCACGCCGCTGGCAGAGAAGCTGGGTGGGAAGAAGCCGGCCGAGCACCCGCCACTGTAAGAGGAAACGAAGAGAAACAGCTCTAGTCAGCCCCAGAAGCGAGGCCTGGAAAAACTCTGCAGCTGGAGCTAACACAAAGGACTTTTCAGACCCTGTAGCCAAGGTGCCCAGTGAGCGTTTTTTTTACAGCTATTAGGGTAACAAGCCTTTCCAAAGGCCAGCAGTTGGCGAGGGTTTCCAGGAAGCTGGTCTGGCACCAGGCTAGGATTGGAGCAACTTTAACGAGTTAACTTCAGAAGGAAGGAATCATCAGGAAAGGTTTAAGGTTCAACAAACTTTTTGAATTATTTTGCAAAAAGTTCTGGCTTTCAAATTCAAAGGCATGCTTTGCCGGGACTGTGTTAAGCCAGAGCCTATTTCAAAGGCAACGCAGCCCGCACGTTTCTGATTCATTCACTCTAGGTATTTGTCTTAACTCCTCCGGACGGGCTTTGCAAGTGCCATCCAGTGCCGGGAAACACTGGGGTCACCTTACACATCTCATCAAACACCCCTCCACCCACATGCCTCTCCCTCTGCCAGCCCCCGTGCCGTGTGTGCACGCGCACACACACGCGCACACCTTCCTCAAGCAGGAAGCTGCTCTCTGCCAAGAGCGAATGGAATTCAGATTTCCAGAGGGTGCCCTTGGCCTCCAGCTCCACAGCCGCATGCTGAAGAAAGGTCTAGTGTGTGTGGTGGGGGCTGAGAGAGAGGGGCCTCCATCTCTGCTCACGTCTATCTGGGCCCCAAGAAAAACCCACCACTGGCTGCGCTCTCCTCAGCCACACCCGGCCTCAGTCACATTCCTTCCCTTCCTGAGCCCACACTGGGTGGCCCCAGCAAACCAGCTTCCACACCCCCTCCCCATCAGCGGCGAGACCTAGGCCAGGCCCTCGGGGGCAGCCAGCAAGTACAGATGAGGGCCGCACCCCAGGCCCGAAGCAGCCGGAAACCACTGAGGGGCCCGCAGGGCTGGGTATCCCACCCATGGGAGAAGACTACACTCCCCGTTCAGCACACCCTGGGACTGAGCTCACTTAGGAAGTCCCTCTTCATATCCAACCCTCACTCTCCTTGCTGCAGCACTGGTGGGCCTGTGGCAAAGACTGACACTACTGTTCCCCACCAGCGTTCCCTACCAGCAGGTCCCCACATACTAGCAAGAAGGATTGCCCCCCGCCCCCGCCCCCCGGGCTTCCAAGCCGAGATCTGCATCCTTGGGAGTTAAACATTTACAGGCAGAGGGGCCAACACCAACCTGGTAAATGAGAGAAGTTCGTGATCAGCCACGCACGGTGGATAGGCTGGTCACGCTTAGCTTCTCTTTGGCCCAAGTCATTGGGTCCTTGCACCTGTGTGGCCAGGTAGTGACAGGCAAAGAGAATGCTCCTTCTGCAGGGCATCAGGTCAATGAGGACTGTGCTGGGTAGGAGCATTTATGGCATTTCAGGTGCTCAGCAATCAGGGAGCCCTGGCACCAAGCTAGGATGCATCTGCCAGGGCTCAGGGCCCAGGCAGAGTAGCCACTGCTAAACGAAGGCCAAGCTACACTCCACTGTCAGATGGTTCCTTTTGTTTGTTCATGAGACTGTTTTCAAAAGTGGTGGCTCCTGGTGGCCTGTATTTCTGCCCAGGGAGAAGGTTGTGGCTTTGCAGCCTGGGCCTGGAGTCTCCAGTTTGGCTTCTGGCCCTGCTCAGGGCTACTCTGACCCTCCTGCTTGGGTTGGGATTGGTAGTCCCCCTGCCCTGGTCTTGCTCACTGGGGTCTCCTGACTGAGTACCATGAGGTCCTGCTGTGACAATAGGCCAACTTCACTGCCCCTTCTGGCCAGTCCTGACCCCATGTTTTGGTGTTCATGCAATGCCTCAATTCCATCAGCCTTTCCTTCCAGGCATTGCCTGCATAGGACTCAACTGGGGAACACTGTTATTCCCTGTCCCTGGGGAGGGCCTGCATGTGGGAGAAGCAGCATGATAAGGAGCAGGGTGTGGCCAGGCCCAGGGCCTCGAGGAGGTACCTGTGCTGCTCTCCTAGCAGTTCGGTGACTGGGCATGGTGCTCAGGGAAGTGCCCAGAAGCCACCAGGATTCGGGTCACTTGGCCCAGACCTGATGAAGGGGCGGTCTGGGCCTGGTGCAGGGGAGAGCATTGGCCTGCTAGAGAAGACAGGCCCTGCTGAGACAGCAAAGAGCACAGGATTTAAAGTCAGGAGCCTGGGGCCTGGCCCTGGCGCTGCCCACAGCTAGCGTGTCCTCTGGGTAAGGTCCTCTTGTCTCTGGTCTTGGGCTCCCATTTCCCAGTCTATCCATCTCCTGACACCTACAGGGATATTTTCCCAGCCCAAACCCAGGCCAGGTGGTCTGATGAAGTCTACTTCCTGGTGCCGGAGACAGGCAGGCTCCCAGGTACTGCCACGGACTGTGGGGATCACTGGGAGACATCTCAAGTGAAGCCCTCTGAGCCCCTGGGGACGGTCTCACGCTGCCCCACACACATACACATACACACCAGCCCAAGCTTAATCAAGCTGGAGCCAGTTTTTCTGAGCATTGCTCCATCCAAGTCCATCCCTATCTCATGACCATGGCCCCCTGCTCTTGCTGCTGGCCTCTCCTGACAACCAGGCCCCCATAAGCTTCCACCTGGAGCCCACACACCTGGCTGGGGAGTTATGGGGCAGTTCAAAAAGAAAAGCAGAAAAAAAGCATTCAAGTGTTTGAAACTGGAAGAGATTCAATTTAATTTAACAAATTCAGACATGAACCTAAAGAAAACATTGGGAAACAAGCCCACCTCCAAAAGGCCCAAGAGGAAGGATTAGGTGGGAGAAAGGTCTCCTTGGGGCAGCGGATGGCTGCCTAATCTGGGCCGTGGAGTGAGGACACTGGTCCCCACTGCACACCAGGCTGGCCAGAGGGACAAGCCCAGAACATGCTCAAGGACTTTAGGCCAAAGGTCCTGTTGTGACCTTACCCCGCGCTTTATATCCCAGATATAGAGATCAGCTACCTGAGGAACTCAGTGGGGGCCCAGCAGCTGGCTGCCTGGTGCTTCCATGTCCTCTCCAGGGGCCTGGCTCTCTGGAGGAGCAGGCTCAGGCCCATAACCACAAGTGAGGCTGTGGGGAAGGACCCTGAGTGTGGTGTGTGTGTGTGTGGTGCGCGCGCGCGTGCGCGTGCGCTCTGAACAGCCTTACCGACTCTCCCACTTCCCAAATACCCTCTAACTGCTTTGCAAAGTCACCTCACTCTTTGCCTCA